AATATTTAAAATGCATTTAGAGCGCGGCAGCGTTTTCTGAAACGCGCGTTGGGTGCATTCCAGGGCACTGAGCGAATGGTTATGCCAGCTTCGAAACGATTTAAAGACTTTATATGTTTTATGCACTTTGCTGTTTGTGGTATGTGAATCTCTGAAAACAGTTTTAGGACCGTGTTCACGCAGCGCCGGAGGCTGAGCGTATATGTACATACTCCGAAACTTGCATTACCTATACTCATGACACGGGCGTAAAGATACCGGCGGCGAGCAGACTGGACAATCGAGCAGGTTATAATGGGCTGGTTATATGCAGGTTATATAGCCTTGGGCTGGTGTGTATCATCCCAGCACTCTAAGATATAATCCGATGCACAGGGGTTCTGATTATTTACATCTAGCATCTCTTTAAAATTCTAACAAAAAATGCATAGTCTACACTCTACATATTCGTTAACCCGCGCATGATGGTACAGAGCCCCCCTCCTGTTTTTAAGCAATATCTTCTAAACCGTTTGACAAATCAACACGAAACTTGCAGTACCTTCAGCCGCATTAATTTAACACCTTGTGTCAAAATTTCAACATTCTAACTACCAAAGTTCCGACAAAAATGACGTCAGAGTGACGTCATGTCGGCTGATTTTGAATTAAAATATTGAATTACGGCAAACGCTCTCAAGAGCTCAGTTTTAAAGCTCGATGCGATTTCTTTGCATGAGTGGACTGAAAATGCGCATAGCTATCAACATGCAATCTCAGATTCTCAAAAGTTGAAAATTTCAAAAATATGTATTTGCAATTACAATTAACAAATAATATACTTTTTTGATTTTTTCAAAAGTTTTTGATTTTTCGCAAAAACCGGAATACCTTTATGTGATGGAGAACATACCTACTGATAAACTACTCTAGCAAGTTTTAGCTCAATATCTGCAAAAATGGCCAACTCATTTCCATTATTGTCAAAATTTTACAATTATGTATTTTGTAAAGCCATTTTTCAGTGCGTTTTTGACATCGTATAACAATATAAAAAAGCACCATCGTGTTTCTGAGTTCAAACTGCCTCTGAGAGCCACCTTTTCTGTTCAACAAGATCATTTTCTAAAGTTGAACTTTTCTGACCTAAAAGTGGCCTGACCTCCGGTGAATTCAGTTGAAAATGACCTCAAATGACACAGACGACATTGTTTTCAAGATCTATGAGTAAAATGGACCGTAAAACATGCGTCACGTGGCCGATGCATGATATAAAATTTCCGTGACCTAGAATGACCTGACCTTGGCCTGAAAAATTGGAAGTTCGAGTTCGGTACACACAGGGTATCCAATGCATATATCAAGGAATGCGAAAACCACGGAAATGTGCCTGATTGGACTTGTAAACCGGCGGCCAGAGCCTAAATTGTGAACTAGCTAAAATGCTGATAATTTTTACTTTGACCTGACCTGTGACGTCATCAGTGACCTCGAGGTAAATAAAATTAGATTTCTCCCAACAATTTCTCCAGAGCTATCAGATGCTGTTTGAATTTTGATGACCGGCCCAGTAGTTTCGGAGATAGGAGGGGGGGGGGGGCTCTGTAGAGCCCCTTGTCACTCGCGTTATAGAAAATACCTCAGTCATGCGCGTCAGTCATCACGGGCACCCCATGGCATTAAGTATACCATTGTAAATCTTTTTTATTTCTCTTCAGACCTTTTGTTTCGACCAGCCAAACGTTGCTAAATTCTTAACATTTCATGCTCCGTCCTAATTGTAGAAAAGCCAGCAATTATTTCTAACTAGAGTGGTCGTAAAGCTAAACAGCATGACGCAAAACACATTTTATTGCACCGTTTTTACCGAGCATAAAACTCCTTCAAAAACGTTTCTACAAACACGCTCTCAGTTCGCGTGCGCATCTCACATACGTATGCAGGTTTGGCCTCAAACCAACTGGGAGCCGGTACTCGGTAGCGGTGCCCGGAAGAGCCCAACGAGCTACTGTTGGTGGCAACCCTGCTCCTAACGGGATTCCGACAGAAAGCTATAGCTCACTGGCCCTGTGGCCACGGCCAGACCCGTTGGAAGGGGCAATAAAAGAAATGCAAGGCCAATGAAATGCACCGATGCCTGCTGAGGTTGTGTGTGTGTTGTATTTAATCACGTGTTTCACTAAAATGACACGTGACACAACGGCCTGTGCCCTGTGGACTTCTGGCGCAGCGTCGCCCAGTAATTTGTCACACCACTGCAGTTGTTGATGCAGTTGGGGCAGAATTTGAACGCGTCAAAGCAGTGATTTGAGCCTTGAACCTGCCCCTATTGTTCAGCGTGCATACCTGAACGCTAACCCCCTGCCCGCCTCACGGTTACCTATCCCAGGCATTCCATCCTCAGCCGACATTACTAATTACTTTACTGCCGCAATGCTCAGCAGCGTCAATGTTTTCCTCAGCCGAAGTACCTAACTGCCATGTGTCGTGCTCAGAGGTCACGCAACTGTGTGGCGCAGCAACGTAGTCAAATCAATGCATTCTAGTGCTGCCATAGTGCTTCCATACCTGTGTATGTAAGGGTTGTCAGGGTGTCTGCCCTGCTGGTTTTTGGACGCGGTGAGAGCTGCGACTGTAGGTCAGGCGCCTCCCTGCACTCTAGGGGTAGACTTCACCAGGAACTTTGAGCACTGTGACCGCAAACTTTCAGTCGTAGAGTCGGTCGGGCGATTCCTCACCGTCTCGTTCCACGAGGGTTCCTCCAGCGATGCTGTTGCTGTCGACCCTGCTGCTGTCGCTGCTGTCCTCCCTGGGCGTCAGCGGCTTCCTCTACATCTCTCACACCGTCCAGCATGCCACCACGCCGCTGAAGACTGTCGAGGAGTGCTCGGTGACACAGTGTGCCGTCTACTGCCACCTCACTGACGGCTGCGTCAAGTGGAGCAGCGATCCCGACACCCGTCTGTGTCAACTGTGGCCGCTTCACTCCGACTCCAATCCGCTGACGGCGGCCGCCGAGCCTCTCCACCAGCCTATCTTACCGGAGGGGTTCATCGTCAGTGACGACCCTTCCATCGCCTACAAACAGCGGGCCTTCAGCATCATCGGCGGCAACGTCTCCATCCTCGCCAGCTGCCGGGCCTACGATCCAGAATCCTTCCCCGCCTTCCCGCACACGGAGCAGCAGATCAACTACCTCAAGACCCACGTCACCGGATCTTACTACTGGATCGGCATCTGGGACCAGGAGACGGAGGGCGTGTTCAAGGACATGACGACCGGCCAGACGGTGGACCTGCCGGCAGCGTGGTGGTGGAACGGGGTCGTGGACACGTCGACCACGTCCAACTGCATGACCCTCTACGGCAGCGGCCTGTGGGCTGTGGCATGTGACTCCGAGCATGCGGGTCACATCTGCCAGCACAGCGTGCCGGAGCGCTTCCGCACCTCCAGCGCTCAGTAGGAAGAGGTTGATCTATAGGAGAATGTCGATCTAGTCATAGGAGCAGCTTGCTCTAGTCGGTAGAAGGCGGCCGCTCCAGGCTCTAGGAGCAGGTCGCTCTAGTATCGAGGAGCAGGCCGCTCTAGTTTCCAGTTTCCAGTTTCCAGTCTCCAGTTTCCAGTGTCCAGTCTTAAGTCTCTAATCTTCAGTCTTTAGGACCAGGCCTTGCACTTATTATAGCAGCAGATAACTCGGCCATTCAGAATGAGCAAGGAACTTGCTCCCCCTGAGTGGCCTGACTTCCCCCTGACTTTTCCCGAGGAGCTCGCTTCTAGAGGCCGAGCTCCCTAGAAGGTCTCCCTGTCTCTCCAGTCTAGTTCTTTGTTTCTCTGTCACTCTGTCTCATCTTTCCCTCTTTCTGTCTTTCTGTCTTTCTGTCTTTCTGTCATACTGTCTTTCTGACTTTCTGTCTTTCTGTCTTTTGTCTCTCTGTCTGGCACTTTTCACGCTTACTTTTTCACTAATTATAATGATTACCGAAATTAAAGAGGTCTCTATAATTTCAATCATGGTTTAGAATACATGTGCTATTATGAGGTTTCCGTTTTCTTTTATCATTAATATTGTCATTAAGAGCCTCAAACAGGCGCTTATTTACTTTTATTTACTTTTTCGCTTTCAATCTGAGGCTATATTTCTTTCTCTTCCTCTCTCTCCACCCCTTTCTCTCTCTTTCTCTCTCTCTCTCTCTCTCTCTCTCTCTCTCTCTCTCTCTCTCTCTCTCTCTCTCTCTCTCTCTCTCTCTCTCTCTCTCTCTCTCTCTCTCTCTCTCTCTCTCTCTCTCTATTATCAGGGCCGCTAATGCACGACAGATCATATCGCGCACTGAATGACTGCGCAGACTAATTCGGAATAAGTTAGGTTTTTGTTACCGAATGTCGTAATAACCTAGATGGATCAGAGCGAAGAGTCTATCATCATCAATATATTTGCAAGAGCTCATTCACAACAATCTATGCTCAAGCTTAGAGCAATGCAAGCAATGCTTGGTAAGTTATTTGTTTGAAATTAAGTTGAGATCAATGTGCGTGACAAGCATAAATACACAGTTGATATTTGTTCGATACTGGTGTATTAGCGATTCCTTCTATGTGTGTCCCCTTACATCCCGTTATTGCATTGCCCATTCACTCTTTTTGTACCTACTCGTAGAGAGGTATTTGGTATTTGGTATTTGGTATTTGGTATAGTTATGGAAAAGGACATCTTGATAGCAATTGGACCATGCAAAAAACGTGTCTGGTCCTTTATAGATGATGTGCAAGATGAATATTAAAAAAAGTGAAGAAAAACGTATCAGAGGCTGTGCCCCCCGTGAGGCCAACAGGACCCCTTTTTTGGGGGGAGGAGGGGGGGGGGGCAGGTCAGCGATGTGGTCACCCGCACGTCGCATACGATGTGATTAGAGCTATTTATATACGATGTGATTAGAGCGACTATTTTCCACAGCATCTTGGCGAGACAAACTTGTTAATGGCGAAGCTCACCTTTTTACTTCATTCCTCGACGTTTATGCTACATTTGAGTGATTACCAGAGTCCCGATAACCTCATTTATTATACATAGCCAGACAAACAGTGATAAAACAAAACCACAGAGCACGGTAACAGGTAGGATATCAGTGCATCTCAGCTCAGCCAAAGCAGGTGCTCTAAATAGTTGAATTGCCCCCTCCCCCCCAAAAAAATGCAATAAGCTACAGAATGTGTACCTATCTGACATACCAATCGGTAAGATAGAGGGTTTTCCGAGCCTGAGTGCAGTGTCAAAAACTAGAAGGTCTCAACACGGAAAATCCGTAAAGTGGACAATTTAGAGTGAGGCAACACAACACTGCCGGTCAAATCCGTCTCCTTGTCCTCTGGTCTTGCTTCTACGAAAACATGGAGCAGTAGCGGCCATCAGATCCTCTTTCGGTGGAAGTTCTACTCACACTCAGGTCGGTAGCAGAACTCCAGCTGGCATACGAAAGCCGAGATGAAAGCACAGGGAACGTTCATCCAAACCTTTCCGTCTTCTGCACTGGTGTCACTCGTCAGGACACATTGGTTGTCATCGAAGGAAGTTGGTTCAACAAAAAAATTGGAATAATTACCAACCGGCCCACAGCCATCCTCTCCCACGAAGGCAGCCAGGCTCGAATTACCACGGTAGCCCATCCAGGACCCGGACCGCAATACAAATCCCGAACTGGCATTCGAATAGCACAGGTTCTCCTCCGCGCTCCTGGGCGTGGCGAGATGAGCCCCGAGGGCGGCGCAGTTCTCCGCTGCTGCGGTAAAGTTGACCGTTTCGTTGACGAAACCATAGCAGCGGCCGGCACAGCGGCTGAACCCATCGGGACAGGAGCATGGGTCCAATGTGTCACCTGGACGGGCAGAATTGAAACACGATAATGTGGGTACATGTACATAAAATGATACAAGCATCAATGACTAATGCATATGTACAATTACGTCATCTGTATAATGCATTACTTGACCCTTGAGCGGCCACGAGGGTGGGTGGGGTGGGGTGGGGTGGGGGGGGGGGTATACAGTCTCCTTAACTTCTTTTCAATGGAAAGCGTTAATATTAATTTTTTCCAGGCAATTCCCTCAAAAATTTAAAGTCTCAGTTACCTCAGGTCAGATCAACACACACCAGATCACAAAACCTGTACAGAGTTATGATACGATTGTAATAATCATCATTTGGCCGTTTAGTCCAGAGTATTCGCGTGATTGGATTCAAGTGCTCGGCGCAAAACCAGCCTGTTTGAACTACCCCATCTAACCCGGCTCCTGGGTCACGTAGCGACTCACGGTAAGGGGCATTTGAGGTAAACTAAAAAATCATGAGGATAGTACTTCAATCATTTTTGAACCCGCGAATTACGGGGGGGGGGGGGTGCTAAAAAACAGATCAACAAAAACAGAATACAAACTTAAGTTCCTCCTTCTCAAATTTAACCGTTTCCATTTTAAAATAACCTTCATATTTTTAATTTGAAACGCGTCTTTTTTAATAGGCTTATCACTTTTTCAGACTGAAGGAAAAAGATGCGCGCCTAGAAACCCGAAGGAAGGAAAGAAGGAAGGAAGGAAGGAAGGAAGGAAAGAAGGAAGGAAGGAAGGAAGGAAGGAAGGAAGGAAGGAAGGAAGGAAGGAAGGAAGGGAGGAAGGAAGGAAGGCAAGCAAAGTTTAACCCGCGCCCCGCTGGGGTCCTGGATTTCCACGCCTTGCTGGGGGGGGGGGGGGGTTGAACACCCCCTTCTAACTCGGATCCTGGGCCACGTAGCGATACGCGGAAGGCGGCGTTCGAAAGAGCGCCAAAAATAATGACGAAATCATTCCAGCCACTTTTTTGGTCAGGTCAAAGGTCAGGTCACCAGAGGTCATTGAAGGCAAAATTTCGCCGATTTTAAGGTCGATTGTCGACAATTTCCAAGAAGCCAACGCATAACTCGGGAACCAGTAGAGCTACAGCGCCGAAGAAAAGCGCATTCGATAGCCCTATTAACGTCCTGAGTAATCATCTCAGATTTGACCTTTCGTCAACGGTTTTGCCTGCAGGGGCTAGGCGTTATCACAAATGTATTCGCGGCCATTGGGGTGACGTAAGAAAAGAAGAAAACATCTGGCCCCAAGAACTTTGAATTATGGGTTAGTATGCACATTTTCCTTGATGTGTGGAGAATCTACGATTAATTATATTAGAGAAAATTGCATTTAAAATTTTCCTTTTATGTTTTTCCATCGTTTGAACAATGTATTCTTTTACTAAGCTAGAAACACTGATTATAAATAGTTCCAGCATCATCGTCAAGAACAATAAGGAATGCTTGAAGTGAATAGGGGAGAGCGGGGCCAGTTGAACCACTTTTTATATATTGACATGCACAGCGAGATCTAGTTGTCATATCGAAAAATGCACAATACTATGAAAAAATATGCTCTCTTGGCTTTATTTTAAGATATGTAAAATTATGCTTCAAAGATACTTTGCTGCCAAACGCATGCTTATAAAACAGCTCTACCTCCGTTTCAAATGACCCCGATGCGAGGGTCAATTGAACCAGCCCATGGGGTCAATTGCACCTATCCTTAACAATGGGATGTTTTCCTCTTTAAGGGCACTTTCTTAAGGAGATATTTTGTCCGATTTACTTTTCCAAATGTTACATTCAATAGGTCGTTGGAAAGCTAAAAGTGCAAAGTTCCTCATAATAGGTGACATAAAGTACATAGACTATGGTAATATGGGCGGATGAGGAAAATGAGAAATATCTCAGGCTATAGTGTGCTTTCAAGCAAAAGGCTGGAGAAAACGGGTCAAAAATTGAGCTCTATTAAACTACTGTTTCAGTTTAAAAGCTCGTTTCAAAGGTGGACTATTTCCTTTAATGTTTACAGCCCATGAACAATAACCATTGCAAATGTCACCGGGGTCCATTGAAACGGCCTGTGGCCCTGTTTCAACTGACCCTCAGAGAAGCGTTTCAATTGACCCCATCCGCTCCCGCCATCTCGCACGCGCCGTAAAGCATGTATGTCAAACGAGCTGGAGGAACGGCATCATGCTGAATGAAGGGCCAAATAAGGTGTTATTCCGGAACCAGGAGTTCTTCTTTCAGCAAACAAAGGTATATGAGATATCACAAAATATTCATAAATCGATTTCTCCCAAACGCCCCTCAAAAACACAAAAACAAGTGTCAATTCAAAATTACCGTCCGTTTGCCGCCCAAACGCCGTTGACAAAGGAAGTAGTCGAGCGCGGATGCGCAGTGGTGTCGGCAACGCCATATGATGCATACTGTTGAAAATAAAGCCATGTTTCATCTGACCTCGTGTTTCAACTGGCCCCGCTCTCCCCTACAATAATCTAAACGGTTTTGTAAGATGTGAAGATCACTTCTAAAATTGCCTGTAGAAATATTGAAGGCAAAAGTTCAACTTTTTCACAAGACGGATGTCTATACCTATTCAACGTGTGACAACTCAGCCGGTATTTCGTCGCCTACATCCCAGCTTTCCCTAGTGACCGCTAGAGGCGCTGCTATCGATGTCCACCCGTACCGCCTAACACTGTGTTTTATATTACATTGCGTCACCATCTTTTAGCCTTGTCATTGAGCCAGTCGTTACATGTCTTTTTTTTAGCTTTTTATAGGTATCACTCACGCCACTGCGTCCATGTATTGTATATTTTATTCTATATCATGGCAGCCGGCATGTGTATTTGTATGACGCTGTGGTGTAACAAGCCAATTGTATATTGGAAACCACAAAGATATGCGAAATAAATAAATAAATAAATAAACTACCAAAATAGCCGATTTTTTTTTCGAAAACAGTTTTCTGCAATAATTTTTGACCCAAGCCTTGCACGAGCATACTTTTACCGGCATCGTGTTCCTCTCGTCAATACGCATCGAATGAACTGTAACTTGACCTTGAAAGGTCAACATGAAAATTTGACCTCAGGGCAAGGTCATGACCTGACCGGAAAAGCGTCAAATTGCATATCAGTCGATCCGTATCGTCGAGCGGAACACATCCAAGGCGTTTTCATCGCTCTAGCATGCCTCTAAAAAGTTATTCGCGAAAAACTGTTAGATACCATCCGTGACCTGAGATGACCTCAGGGGTCACGGATACCATTTTCATGTTCAGTGTGTCTTAGGTACTTGTTATTCAGTGTTCAGGAGTGTTTATAATGGCTTTCGTCCAAAAAAGCGCCTTTCAATTTTCTCCCATTGACTTATAATGGGGAGGTCGCAAAATTGGCCTGACCTTAGGTCATCGATACCTATCTAAATTCTGAGATGAACATTTTGTACATACTGTTACTGTTAGCAATCACTGAAAGTTTCAAAGCGATCGGTCAGTCGGTGTAGCTATGGTAGACATTGAAACTTTTTATGAGGTGAGGTCACTTCAAGTGACCTGGTGACCTGACCTTGAATGACCTTGGTCTGAATGTGTAGAACTGATGCATGGTAAGGTGTGCCAAAAACCGCGGCGCGAAAAACCACAGGGGGGGGGGGGGTGTTCAAACCCCCCCCCCGAGCAGGGCGCGGTTTAAAGATAAAATTTCGAATATATGCTACTGTACACGAAACCCAACTCTAGCCGTCCGTCCTGTCCTGTAACAGTAGCGGCGGGAACACCTTCAATTAAGGGGGAGCACCACCGACTTTTGGTCTCATTCTTTCCATGCAACGCCCATAGGGCTAATGTTAAAATGCCAAAATCAAAGGGTGGCACGGTGCCCCGGCTCCCTCCCCGTTCCGCCGCCTATGTATGTCCAGTAACAACGGATAACATTATCGACTGCCAGTCCCTGTACAAGAGCAGCTGAGGTTTTCTGTGCGTGACCTTTGACAGCTTATCGTTGTTCCCTGTGAGGGTGCTGGGATAATTTACTCAGGGTCGCTGTACAGGAGCAACTGCGGGTCCCCATACGCTACGATATGCTAATTGCTAGTCTACATAAATGGTGATAGATGCATGTATGCATGAGGGGTTTAACCCTCGCGGGCCCGGGGGGGGGGCGTTTTTCGCCCCCCCCCCTGGCGAATATTTGCGATAGCTCCCGAACGCTTAGGGATAGGAAAGCGAAACTTTCAGTACCTTTTCCCCCATCAATTTGACATCTTCTGAAGTAAACAAATTTGAACCCAGCCCCATTGATGCCGTCACAAGGTCCATTTTTCTAGACCCCTGCACGGCAAACTTCGGCGTCACAGGCGCAAACTTCAAATAGCTGCTAAAAATAGAGTTTTAGAGATAAAGACAAATTACGAACACGGTTGTGTAGCGTTTGACCTAGAGAAAAATAGAAAAATAGTTTTGGTGACCTGAGGTCAGAGGTCAGGTCAACGACCCCGAAATGTGATTTTAGTTTTTCGCAACTAACTTCGACAAAAAAGGTCCTAGAGCTACGGCAATGGTACCATCGCATTCGCCTTGTCAAGCCGCGTCGAATGATATATATTTTGTTCGGAAAAGGTCAAGTTTTATGTTGACCTCATGTGACCTCGAATGACCTCTGGTTGACCTTGACACATGAGAGGTCATTTATGATGGATTTGTACCCGCTGATCACGAATCTGGCATCTATTTTCCTCTAAGCCTTCATTTAGAGCTTCTGGACGGCGAAATTGTCTTATTTATTATTACTAACTTGAATCAGTGAAATAGCCTCTAGCAAGGATACTCTTCTGTGACCTTGACCTTTGAGCAGCCTTGTATCGTAAGATGAACCACAAATAGGGAACTGATGAGCCTCAAAACATTTCAAAACATCTTGGAAGTTAGCACGCAAGATGTGCCAAAAAGTGCCAAGTTTGAGGTCAATTTTGAGCGTGACCTTGACCTTGAC